TCTTTAACTTTTACATTTCATAACAAAGTAAATATTAAACATAAAGGATATAAGAAAACAAAACATTTTCAAATTTCAAACCCTAATTCAACTATTACTCGTAAGAAACCTTCTGATAGTTGCATATTCTTGTCAAGTTCACCGCATCTTCAACTTTTACATTTCATAACAAAGTAAATATTAAACATAAAGGAGATAAGAAAACATAACATCTTCAAATTTCCAGAAAATCTCTCTGAATTTAGTTTATTCTTCAATTTCTTGTTCTTCTTTTTTGAATCTGTATACATAACTTTCAAATATCCAACAAATTCCAGCTCTGGCATCATACTACTCTCATCTTTCAATTTTTGTTCATCATCCCACATGAACAAATTATATGTTTCACCACTCCACCAATTTGGACATCTCTAAAATAGCCTTCCTTTGTTTTGACCCCTCTTGCATTGGTACGAAACCGTACGACTGTCACAACCAGAGAAATTTCCAGATCGAGATTTTACACCTTTGGATGAGTTACTCTTTGAATGCGATATTGAGACGAAATTGAATAACAACAATGAGTGTTATGGTACTTTTCTTCTTCTCGATGATGTCGATGATGTTGGTGTTAGGGTTATTTCTTTTATAAGTGGAAGAATGAGTACTTAGTGTTTAATATATATAAAGAATCACCAGTGTGTAACAACGGATTTACAAAAGTGACGTAGCGATATCCCTATTATTTTTAATTATATATAAATATAATTGAAAAGACGTGCATTAACGTAAAAGGGATAAACTATTTGAGGAAGCTGAGGATTGAACCTAGAAAATTTGGACTGTATCACAACGGTTATGGAATTAATCGTAATTATAACCTTAAATTTTCAATTAAAAATAAAAAAATGTTAGCGCATTAGTTTAGCAGTGTCACTACGGTTTTTGGCGGAACCATGGTGACTTTGGCGTTGTTGTTTACGCGTTTTCTAGTAGTGGTTTAAGTCTTATTTTAAAATGTGAACACTTTTTTACTGTCAAATATGGAGAGTAGTTCGAACTACTCAAGTTGTGGCACTTTAAGAGTGTATTCTTTAATAACTCTTGCACATAGACCTAACTGACGTGGATAATGTGGGTTATAATGTCATTTTCAACCTTATCAATACACCTTCTACAATTATGGAACACCTTAATATTATAACCACCTTGTGTTTAGACTATGACATATCATGTAAAATGAGTGACATTATAATAAAACCCAAAACACGAATGAACAAAGCTTATATTGAGAAGTTGATGAGGTGAATTCATTATCCTCCACAACTGACAACATAGCAACCTTTGAAAGCTCAACATATGATTCAGGAGAAGCAAGCACCTTAAAAACTCCACCATACACATGCCTTCCAAATTCTGAACCAGTCATCCCCATCATGGAACCATCCTTTAGAGAAGTTGTGTATTGGGTATCGCCAACACCCCCTCAATCTGAAGCTTATAAGACATTTGAGACGAGGGAAATTATGCAAACCTTCCTAGAGACTCAAAAGAAGTTGTTGGCCACTGGTGAAAGTGGTATGATAGCTGAATTTTAGCAAAGATAGAGGAACCACCAAGACATTTTCCCTCTAAATGTTGATTCTAACCAAATGTAATCCGAGTGTCTCACTATGGATTCTAGTTTCTCTCATTTAGTTTTATTTTAATTAGTTTTTATTTTAAGTTAAATTATTTTTCCACTTTTTTTCATTTTGTATTGGTGTTATACTAAATTTGTAATGATTTTCATTATCTAGTAATGGAAGTGTTTAATTCATGAGATGTTTTTAGCTTTCAAATCTTTATTTTTATGTTTACACTACTAATGATAAATATAAGTGGATTGTAAAATAAATAAGGTACCTAAATGAAAATGTTTAAGATCTGTGGAAGTTCAAAAATATTAAGAGAATGATAATAACTAAATATTGTTAACCTAGTGAATCCAAACACCAGTGTGATAGTTAAATTTTGTGAATAATTAAAAAAACACTTTTACTTTTAAAACATTTATGTTAATGGATATAAAGAAAGATGGATATGAAGAGAGATACAACGAAAATAAAATAAACAAGGAAAAATAAATAGATAAGAGTTAGAGAGAGTGCATCAGAAATTTATACATGTTCGACAAAATCACTTGACCCACTTCTATTCGAAAGAGATTCCTCTTGAGAGTTCCACTAAAAATAAACTTGAGCTTTTCACGTGTTATACCACAAACCTTCTTACAATTAAATAAGATATTTTACACGGGCTAACCTCCAAACTAAACAAGAGATTTTACACAAGCTAATCTCAAAATCAAACAAGAGCTTTTAACAGTCTAAGCTCAAGAACCAAACAAAGCTTTTAAGACAGGACAAGCTCAAGAATCTACAACCAATATTTTATAAGGTTTAGCTTGCAACCTTAAAGTTTGTACAAGTACTATACATAAGAGAATTTCCCTCTTGAATAAATTAAATGAAACACACTGATTACAACAAAACTCTCATAATAACTTTTCAGTCTTTTGGCACTAAGGCAATTCTCGTGATTTTTTTAGAACAAAGAGAGTAAAAGAAGAAGAAGAGAGGTTTCCATTTATAAGTTTAGTGTGTTTTGAAATGAGGAAATTCTTATTGTATACATGAAACTATTTTGATTAAAATGGAAATGATGCATGACTCATTTTAATGTTGGCTTAAATGCACTTTTGGTTCTCCCATATCTTGATTTTTTAAATCTTTGAGTCTCTTTTAAAAAAATCCAGCTTTTTGATTCCCATATTCAACATTTTTTAGATTTTCTTGGCCCCCCTTCAAACTTGTCTTGTTGACACTTTATTTTTTAACGTGGCACTGACATGACATAGTGTATATGGCGCCATGTCATAAAATGTGTGTCACGTCATATTTTTAAAATAAATAAATAAATTTAAAATATTATTTAATATAATTAATAATTAATAAATTAAATAATCACTACTACAAAGTATACATTTTGTAACACACTTGCATCTCGACCATAGTGTCTGTTGTGGTCAAATATATTCATATACGTGTTTTTCTTTCATTTTCATTTTTAATCCATTATTTACCACGATTAAAGTTTCCAACCATGGTAAAAATGGCGTTTGGTCATGAGTTCGAATCTCAACACCATTAACTTCTAAGCCACTTTCAACCACAGTTGGAATTTCCAACCATGTTGAAAAATGACGTCTTCTATAAATGAAACTCGAAAATATCATTTCTTCTATAAATGAAACTCGAAAACATAATTTCTTTCATCAAAAAATTATGGAACTCCATCATCTCTTCTCTTACTTGAACGAAAGCAAAGAAAACATGGATTCAAGTTTGTTGTTGTTGTTGTTTTTATTATGATTGTTGTTCTTATTGAGATTAAATGTTTAACGATATTATTGATTTACTTTTATTCTTGTTGTTATTGAGATTTAATGTTTAATGATTATATTGATTTTGTTTGTTTGTTGTTGTTGTTGTTGTTTAGATTTAATATTTAACAATTCTATCGATTTTGTTTTGTTGTTAATGTTGATGTTGTTGTTGTTGTTCTTCTTCTTCTTCTTCTTCTTCTTGTTTCTCTTATTGTTCTTGTTGTTGTTGTTCTTGTTATTGTTGTTCTTGTTATTGTTATTGTATTAGAAATATTTAATATTCCATATTTTGATGGAAGTTCTCAATGTGGTTGGCCAAAGCATGTGGCAAAAATAAAGAATTAGATGGACTGACTTTTCATCAAGGTTGGAACTTCCAACTCAACCATGGTAAAAAATGGGTTGACTGACATTTTACCACGGTTGGAAGTTCCAACCGAGGTGAAAAGTGGACTGACTATATTTCACCACAGTTGAAATTTCCAATCGTGGTGAAATGTAGCATGCTGTCTAATTTTTCTATCCACAAAACCACAACTCCTTAACCATCCGTGTTATTGCAACATTTGTTAAATAATTATCCTGAATTATTTGTATATTCAACTATTACATGAAAACCAACAACATACAAAATCAACAACAATTGTCTTCTTCCCTTATTGGTATTACAACCTTTGTATATGAAGTCATTGTTGCACCCAACCCAAGCATGATGCGCATATTTTAAGTTTCATGTTGTTTTATGGTCAGTTCTTAAGTTAGATGAAACAATATTACTTTATAGTGCTTTTTATTTATTCCTTATACTGTTTTTTCTATTAGATGAGCTACTAAAAATAGTTGTGATTCATTAGAGCTACTTATGATTTGTTTCATCTTTGTGCAATGCATAACTAATGATTTTTTGGAATATGGTAGTTTGCGAAAACATGTTTTTAAGGTTGTCACTTGATCTTTGATGTCCTATTAATTTTGAAATGAAAAATGCATATGACAATAAAGTAGTAGCCTAAAAATCTTTATGATCTTGCAACCATGGTCTTCTCTTTTCCAGTCATCCAAAAAGACCACTTAGTAGCATTCACAACATTCTAAAGATAATGAAATATTGTAAAAACCTTAAGATTATTGTTACCTATGGAGTGTTTTTATCCCAATATGTTTAGTTTATCCATTTACCAAGGATATGACCTATTAAAAATCTGATTTGACATTGCAATAATCATAAAATTGAGAAGCTTTACGTGTAAGAGAAACCTGTTGGAACTCGCCATTATCTATGTTATATTGTTAAACATATTTTCCATAATGTGAACTACCTTAGTTTTATCAATCATCCATTTTTCCAATAATTTCTCATTTTCCAACAGTTGAGTTATCTGAAGGTGCAAGAAACACAAGAATGGGGGGGGGGGGGGGGGGGGGGGGGGAGGGGGGTGAATTGGATTTCTAGAAATAAAAACTTTTTGAAGCCAAGCACTTGAGATTAACACAAGAACAAAAATAAATGAGAAATTATCCTGGATTTCCTGCACTTTTAAGAAGGCTGCTACTATTGTTTTGACGTCAAATTTATCCTTCATTCAGAATCTCTATGAGGGGGAGAAGATGGAATTATCCTCTGAGCTTACTCACTGTATGTTTAAGGTTGCTTCTATATTTTCCCATGTCTTTGCTAGTCGGGGAGACATCTCGGCTCCAAGTAATCCCACTAAGGAAAGGGATACTTGGAAAGGGAAATGTGAAGCTATGGAGCTGGGGTGCTCTATCCTCTAGAAGGAGTTCATTGTATGGAACGAAGAGGTTAAAACGACCAAGTCTTTGTAAAAGAAGGAAAAAATTCATTGCTTTCCTTCTGCTCTAGCTACTCGGGTAATTAAGTTGGAGGATTCCCTTAAAGAGGTGGATAAGCGGTATTAGGATGCTTCTGTTTCTTAAAAGGAAAATACTCGCCAAGTGGAGGAGAATCAAAAATACCTTCTTCAGAAGACCGAGGCTCATGCCAACATCTTGAAAGTTCTCCAAGACAAGGTGGACGACTTGAACCTGGTGTTCCATGATTCTCTTCAGCTGACTATGTAGGTCATGCTTAGGTTCTGCGATCAATTTATAAAGCATACGAGAAGCTTTTGCCCTGACGCCATAATTTCTGTTGAGACGCTGGACTCGTTTAAGTCCGCTCTCGAGCTGGCTCTGAAGGGTGATCCTGGTACCTTAGATCCAAATGTTTCGGCTTGATTTTTTTCTTTTTCCTTGTATTAATTTATTTCCTGCAATGCTACACATGTTTTTTCCTAGATGTAACAACATTTAATATTTAATTAAAATATTTTTACCTTGATAATTTAAGTGTTATTTAATTTAGAGCTTTACACTTGTCTTCGCTTTATCATTGTCATTATGAATTGTTATAACTTCGTAGCTTGTTCTTTTACCTTGGAAAGTTTGCTTGTTTAAGTCGGCCCACCAATGTTTATAGGCTATGAAGAGATATGTTTTAGGTGTGAGAACCCTAATTGCTTGCTTCAAGATGGAAATAATGATTTTGTTGTGATGAAGTAGATGATATGCCTTTTGAATTTTCCTGCTTTAGTAATTTGTAACTTAATTCATTGAATGATGTTAGCTACCATTTTAGTTGTTCTACTTGTTCGTTTTATTTAGCTTTTCTTGTATTTTATTGCTCGTCCTATTTACCATTTTTGGGTTGTGTGAACTAATATGACGAGTTGCCTGCGTTCCCTGGGGTGAGGCCTAAGATCGGCGAAATCAGTGTGATATGATCGTATCTTTGTACTGTACTTCGCGTCATAGAGGATCGTTCTTCGGCCAAGAGTATGATCTCCATCCTTGCCCCTGGGGGTTAACTTGGATCGAGGTGGACGTTTCGAGGCTCTACCACCTACACATTTGGATTGACTAGATCTGAAGGGGATGCGTCAGCTACGCAGAAATGCGTTTAGTATGTCTTAGATGCGAAGTAATGTGAGGTATGCGTTTAAGCCGTATCAGAATTGTAGAATGCGTTTAGTCTACTTGGATACGCGGTCAAGCATGGAATATGTTTAAGTCGTGTCAGAATCACAGAAAAACATTAAACATGTATAAGATACAAACAATGCGTTCAAGTCATATCAAAATCATAAAAATACGTTAAATTTGTATCGAATATGCAGTTATACACTTCATTTTTTTTACATTGTCTTAAACATTATAGCATAAAGAAAGACCGAGAAACATACCATAGAGAAAGAAATATAAGATGTACATATCAATTTTTTCTCTAGGAATAAACGCAAAGTAAGTATTTCCATTTAGATTTTTCTAAGCCTATAATTCGATGGATGATATTGGATGAAATGAAATGAAGTAGGAAATAATTAAATTTTAAAGTTTAGATTTTCAAATTTCCAATTACTTTGAGTTGATTTGGTTTATTGTTACTTTTAAGTTTGATCAAATACTTGTATTAGTCAAACTAAGTCAAGCCAACATTAATTGACAAAAAAAAAAGCTTGAACCAAAAAAACACGCGTTTAGACCAAAAAAAGAAACAACAGAGTTTGCGTTGAGTCTTCTTTCGCTTCTTCTTTCCCTTTCCCTTCACAATTCGTAATTAGGGTTTTCAGAAAACCCCTTTCTCCTTTCACTTCAATCAAAGATTGAAGAAGAAGTTATTTCTTCAATTCACTCTTCTTTCTTGTTGTGTGAGATGTTTTCTTGTTATTTGAGTTCAATTATCATCAAATGGACTTCCTTTACTCAATTCATCTTCTTCTTCTTCCTTCTCTTCTTTACCTCTCCATACGACGCCGTTTCACCCTTCTCCGACAAATCTACTCTCCTCCGTCTCAAATACTCCATCTCCGACCCCGCCGGATTACTCTCTTCCTGGAACCCTTCTTCCCCCCACTGTTCCTGGTACGCTGTCCGCTGTGATTCTAACTTCCGTGTCGTTTCTCTCAACATCACCGGTGACGGCGCTCGCGCTCATGCTCACCGGAGTTCGACTTCCACTTCACTTCCTTGCTCCGATTTTGGTAAGTTTCCCCTTTACGGATTCGGGATTAGGAGAAGTTGTGTTGGTGTTAAGGGTTCTTTGTTAGGAAAGTTTCCATCTTTTATCATTGACTTGACTGAGCTTAGGGTTCTTTCTTTACCTTTCAATGGCTTTGAGGGTTTAATTCCCGATGAGATTTGGAGTATGAAGAAACTCGAAGTTCTTGATTTAGAAGGTAATTTTATTACTGGCCATCTTCCTTTTCATATTCAAGGTTTGAAAAAATTGAGGCTTTTGAATTTGGGGTTTAATAACATTCTTGGAGTCGTGCCTAGTGTTTTATCTTCTCTCGATAGTTTGGAGGTTTTGAATTTAGCTGCTAATGGTTTGAATGGTTCTGTTCCTGCTTTTGTTGGGAAGCTTAGAGGGGTGTATTTGTCTTTTAATCAATTTAGTGGAGTTATTCCGGAGGAGATCGGTGAGAACTGTGGGAAGCTTGAGCATTTGGATTTGTCTGGTAACTCTTTGATTCAAGCGATTCCCAAGAGTTTGGGGAATTGTGTTAGGTTGAGGACACTTTTGTTGTATTCAAATTTGTTGGAAGAGGGTATTCCTGTTGAATTTGGAAACCTTACGAGCCTTGAGGTGTTGGATGTTTCAAGGAATACGCTTAGTGGTTCTATTCCTGGCGCGCTTGGGAATTGTAAAGAGCTTTCTGTTGTTGTGCTCTCCAACCTTTTCGATCCGGTTGGGGATTCTGAGTTTGTTACTTTGAACGATGAGTTGAATTATTTTGAAGGTTCAATGCCTGAGGAAGTTGTGTCACTCCCTAAGTTAAGGATTTTGTGGGCTCCCATGGTGAATTTGGAAGGAAGTTTTCCTAGGAATTGGGGTGCTTGCGGTAACTTGGAGATGGTTAGTTTGGCTCAGAATTTCTTCACCGGAGAGTTCCCGAACCGGCTTGGTTTCTGCAAGAAGCTGCATTTTCTTGACCTGAGCTCAAACAATCTTACCGGGGAGCTTTCGAAGGAACTTCATGTTCCATGTATGACTTTGTTTGATGTTAGTGGAAACATTTTATCTGGTTCAGTTCCTGATTTCTCCAATAATGTTTGTCCCCCCTTTCCTTCCTGGAATGGGAATCTGTTCCAAACTGGCGACATTGCATCTCCTTATGCATCATATTTCTCATCGAAAGCTCGGGAGAGAACCCTTTTCGCATCTTTAGGGGGAGTTGGTCTTTCAGTTTTTCACAACTTTGAGCAAAACAACTTCACTGGTATTCAATCATTGCCAATAGCGCTTGACAGGATGGAAAAGAGTGGTTACACACTTCTTTTGGGAGAGAACAAGCTCACAGGACCATTTCCCACGTATTTGTTTGAGAAATGCGATGGATTAGATACATTGCTTTTGAATGTGAGTTATAATATGCTTTCTGGTGAGATTCCTTCTAATATTAGTAGAATGTGTAAATCATTGAAATTTTTGGATGCATCTGGAAATCAAATTTCAGGATCAATTCCCTTTACGGTAGGGGATTCGGTCTCTCTTGTTTCCTTGAACCTTAGTGGAAACCAGTTACAAGGTCAGATTCCCACCAGCTTCGGACAGATGAAGGATCTGAAGTTCCTCTCTTTGGCTGGTAACAACTTGAGTGGCTCAATTCCTTCCAATCTGGGACAGTTGTACTCTTTACAAGTCTTGGACCTTTCTACAAACTCTTTTACTGGTGAGATTCCAAAGTTTATCGGGAAAATGAGAAATCTGACGCATGTGTTGCTCAATAACAACAACCTTTCTGGACACATTCCTGCTGGTTTGTCTAATGTCACTACACTCACTGCATTTAATGTGTCTTTCAATAATTTATCTGGATACTTGCCATCAAATAGTACCTTGATCAAATGCAACAGTGCTGTTGGAAATCCATTTCTAAGTTCCTGCCGTGGAGTTTCTCTAACTGTTCCATCAGCAAATCAACAAGGGCAGTTTGATGAAAATTCTTCTATTACATCACCAACTCCTGGCAAAAATAGTGATAATGGTTTCAATGCTATTGAGATAGCAGCAATAACTTCTGCTTCGGCCATTGTTTCTGTTCTTATAGCCCTAATTGTTCTGTTTTTCTTCACGCGAAAATGGAAGCCAAGATCCAGGGTTGGTGGTTCTGTCAAAAGAGAAGTTACCGTGTTTACTGATATCAGTGTGCCGTTGACATTTGAAAACGTTGTCCAAGCCACGGGAAATTTCAATGCAAGCAACTGTATTGGGAGTGGAGGATTTGGTGCAACATACAAGGCAGAGATATCACAAGGAATCTTAGTGGCAGTGAAACGTCTTTCAGTTGGACGTTGCCAAGGTGTTCAACAATTTCATGCAGAGATTAAGACCCTTGGAAGGCTTCATCATCCAAACCTTGTCACTCTTATTGGTTACCATGCTTCTGAAACTGAGATGTTTTTGATATACAATTATCTTTCAGGCGGTAATCTTGAAAAGTTCATCCAGGAGAGATCCACAAGGGCTGTAGATTGGAAAATTCTGCACAAGATTGCATTGGACATAGCGCGTGCACTTTCCTATCTCCACGATCAATGCGTACCTCGTGTTCTTCATCGTGATGTCAAGCCTAGCAATATCTTGTTGGACGATAGTTTCAACGCCTATCTATCCGACTTTGGACTAGCAAGACTTCTAGGAACTTCAGAGACACATGCTACAACAGGTGTGGCAGGAACGTTTGGTTACGTTGCTCCTGAATACGCTATGACATGTCGTGTTTCCGATAAAGCCGACGTGTATAGCTATGGTGTGGTGCTTCTTGAGTTGCTCTCAGATAAGAAATTATTGGACCCTTCATTTTCTTCTTATGGAAATGGTTTCAATATAGTAGCATGGGGATGCATGCTTCTGAGTCAAGGAAGAGCGAAGGAGTTTTTCGCAGCAGGGTTATGGGACGCGGGACCAGAAAAAGATTTGGTAGAGGTTCTACACCTAGCTGTTGTTTGTACTGTTGATTCATTATCAACTAGACCTACAATGAAACAGGTTGTGAAAAGGTTAAAGCAACTTCAACCTCCATCATGCTAGCCCCTTGTGTCCTATGAAGCACAGTCACCGGTCACAAACTGGCACTTCGACGACACCGATAATAATTTGAGAAAATTAACTGAGTGTGACACACTTTTGTTTACAAGCGTCGGTGCTACGGAGCTAGTGTGACTGCTCTATTGAAACCATTGTTAATTATTAATAATATTTTGTTCCTCTTGTAACTTGTAATATGTGATTTATTAGAATAGGATCATTTTTTATGGATTTGTATTAGGTCGAGTTTCCTATTATTATGTACTTAATCATCCCCTTGTAAATTTTAATATAGTTGTACAACCCAATTTTCCACAACATGTGTTGTTCTATTTTGATCTTGTCCACTACTTTATTGAATAAGCTGAAAATTTTCAATTAGAGCTTGTGGCTGTGATTTCACCTTTAGATACCTTACAGTGATATCTCAAACAAAATGTATTAATTTCAAAACTTCTACGTATCAATTTTGATGATTTGAAATTTGAACATCCTCACTATATACTACTCATTATACTACTCATGTTTTCTTTTAATTGTCACTTTTAAAGTAGTAGTGTTAGTTTTAAAGTAGTAGTGTTAGTGATAGTTTTGTCAAAATTATCTCTACTAATTTATTACAGAGAGAAAAAAGTAAATTAAAATAATAAAAAGTTAAAAATATTATAAATAAAAAGAAAAATTATTGTTTACAAAATAACAACAATCATTAACTTTTTATTAGTATGCGTAAAAAGTTAAAAAAATAACACAAGGAATAGTTAAGTAACTTCACTTAAAGTAATCATTTTATTTTCTTGTGTTGAAAAATCAATAGAATGGATTTGAAATTAATTCTGATTAGACTGAAGGAAAATAGAAAGGCACTGCCACTTGTTTGACAAAAACATTAAGAGCATTTTCAATAGTTATTTATTTATGATTTATTTTTTTAGGATTCTTTAAGTCACATTATTTTAAAACAATTCATCTAATTTTATTTTAATAATACAATTCTAAAAAAACTCATATTAAATTTCACAATTTTATATTATATATTAATATTTTATTTATTTACAATTTTATTTTAACTTTAAATGACCCAATTTAAAATTTATTAGTTTATTAGGTTGATGCAACGTTGCTTTGGCAGATGGAGAATTTGTGAAAAAACTCCCCGTTAAAATTACTCTAAGAAAAGAAGCTTCTATCCTTTTTTTCAATTGGGTCCCTCCCTTTTCTACTGTGGACAGACAAGCGGGGGCAGAGCCAGAGTATATTTAGAGGGTGCAAATGAATCTCCTCAACTTTAAAATTTTACATCTAATATATAATATTTACTGATCTTCAAATCCCCTGACATTTGTGCTTTTGCACTAATTAATTCTTTTTATCCAATAAATAACACTTTCTTTTCTCTTTTATTTGTTATATTGTATAATACGTAATATAACACACTAGTTAATTAGTGCACATTTATAATTGTTAGTCTCTCTCTCTATATATATTTAAAATGTAAGTTCGATTATTTAATTTAATATTTTTATGTTATAATGAATGAGTATGTAAATAAAAATTAGTATAATCTTTTTATATTAAATTTATATTAAAATTTAAAACTCAAATATTTATATTTTTATATAAAAAATTTATATATTAGTTTAATATACAAGTTATAATAGATGAATGAGTATGTAAAATAAATAAAAAATTAAAATTTAAAACTCAAATATTTATATTTTTATATAAATTTTTTGTATATTTAGTTTAATATACAAGTTATAATAGATGAATAGTATGTAAATAAAAACTTTAGTATATATTTTTTAAAATTAAATTTATATTAAAATTTAAAATTCAAATATTTATATTTTTATATAAAAAACTTATATATATATATATATATATATATATATATATATATATATATATATATATATATATATATATATATATATATATATATATATATATATATATATATATATATATATATATATATATATATATATATATATATATATGTTGAACCCGTGGGCTAAGTTTCTGGATCCGCTACCGCAGACAAGACGTGTCTTCTAAAGTTCAACAAAATCTTCCTTTCAATGCATTTGATTCTGCTTTTTCCATAGTGATATATGAATGGGGATTAGCCTAATTGGGAAAATAGGTGTTTTTTTGGGGGGAAACACACGAGAACTTTAATGTATTTAGATTTTTTAAATAAAAACTATATAAAGGAGCAATAGTAGTTAAAATGAGATAGAATAATCCAGAAGAGAGAGAAAAAAAATCATATAGTTCCCTTTTAAATGTGACAAATGAGCAGTATGAAAATGTTACTGTATTTTCATAATTTAAAGAATACTGATAAATGTCTATATATAAGGTAGGAAAATTAATGTTTAAAAATTAGTCCTTGAGTTCCGTGTGGTTTTTAGAAAAATGATTAAATCTGTTGATTTTAATGATAAAATTAATAATATTATTTATTAAAATACTCTTATTTATTATAGTTAGTAGAGTGACTGAAAATCGTGAAAGCTAATAAATAGAGATATAATAATAAAAAATAATAATAAATATTGTATTGATATTATAAAGAGATATTTATTTTAAACATAAAAAAAAAATATAAATAAAACACTTATTATGAGACAAAGATAGTAATAAATTTATCTAAGCTAATTAACTAGACGATATATAAATGAAAATAACTAACTTAAGTATTGTTCTGGACTGGGCCGGGCTGACCCAATAGCAACGATAAAGGCCCAATCCAAACGGACTTGCTAGGGGTCACGCCGACCTAAGGACCATGGCTATGCCCGACATATGTCTCTGGGCGACATCCCCGTCCGCGTACTATCCAGCTCGACCTCAGCTCGAGCGCTTCTTCAGCAGCGGACACGGTCCACTGCACTCTCAACGGGGCCCCGAAAAGACCGCGTCCTTGTCCGCCCGCACTTCACGCAGGATATCCAGGAAGGGGACCACGTGCGGGTCCCCACTACGCACGTAGAACCTGGCAGTTCCTCCATTGGGCCAAACCTGTCCAGCCCAATGAAGGAACCTTGGCCCAACACTGGGGGCTATAAATACCCTATGTTTCCAGAGGGTCAGGTATTCATTCTATCACACATACTCTCACTTTGTCTGCTCGTACTCTTACTTACTTCAGCATCGGAGTGCCTTGCAGGTACCCCCCCCACCTCGTTCAAAACTTCAGCTCGGAGCCAGCCGTGACGGTCCAAGTCTGATCAGGTGAGATCAGTGGCGCTGTCTGTGGGAAACTAGCTTCCCCGTCTTACAAAACTCAAAGACCAAAGCTCAAATTCAACTACCGCTGTCATGGCTGATCAAGCTCGCGATGAGCAGAACGTCCGTGTCGTCGACACTAATAACGGCACCGCGGACAAAAACGGACACCTTGATAACGCCGGCAACCCCGGCCACAACACCATTCCTGTGACAACCGCTCCCGGAACTTCCAGCTACAGGGACGGAGCTACTGCATCATCTTCCTCGGTCCCTCCACCACTCGAAGACGATCCGGCGGCCCTCGCACACTACAGAGCTTCCCGGTTCCAGGAAGTCCCCATCCCCGCCGGGGCGGATGCCACAACTCAAGCGCTGTTCGCAGCGATTAATCAAACGAACTATCTCATCTTCGCCCAAGGAGAGAGACTGAGGGCGCTTGAAGACGAGCGAAGACCCCCGAGGAGGCATCGGAGACCTCATACTCCCCCTCCTCGAGTGACTGAAGCTCGACATCCATCTCCCCCGCGGAGACATTACAGGGAGATCTCTCGAAGCCAATCTCCCCGGCCAAAAGAGAAACGATCTCATCTGGAGAGGCCCCCAATCATTCAAACCGGAGAACCTTCTCGTGACCTGGCGAGACAAGAAAGAAGGCACTCCGGAGACGGACGTGTAAAATTCAACCACCGAGCATCCCGCTCGAGAGAGACACAGCACGACCTGGACCGTCGTGCCAGGCAATATTACAGGTCCCCATCTTTATCTCCGGAGAGAAGCGACGAGGACGACCCCCGCGATCCCCTGTTGCAGGCTATTATGGAAGCACCCATCCCCCCGGGCATGGAGAAGCCCCCTCACCTGAAGGAGTACGATGGAGTCGCGGACCCGGTCGACCACATAGACGGGTTCGAGGCTATGCTTCATTATCACAATGTCGGGGGTCCCATCAAGTGCCGTCTATTCCCCACGACTCTCAGGAAGGCGATAATGGACTGGCACAAAGGACTCGCCCCGGGCTCAATCACCTCGTGGTGGAACCTGAAGAACCAGTTCATCAGTTCCTTCACAGCTTCTCGGCGGCATCCGAAGACCGAGGCGGCTCTCGAGGCCATCATCCAAAGACAGGATGAAACCTTGAGGGAATTCATCAACCGCTTCAACCGGGAAGCAATACAGGTCCCCTGTGCGGACCATATGAAGAGATATTTGCTGGAGAGAGGGCTCTTCCCCGGCACGGAATTCAGAAAGGCCGTGGGTATCAAGCCACCTCGGACATTCGATGCCCTCCTCGAAAAGGCTCGGGCGTACATGGACTACGAGGAGAGGGAAGCGGCCAACAGAGCCCGAGATCTCAGGACTCGTGGTCCCAGCAGCAGCTCACGCCAAGAAGCCCCTCCTCGACGAACCGGGGAGAAAAGGAAGGAAGACAGACCCCGGGAAGTTCGGGAACAAAAAGGACCTTCGGGGCGGTTCACCGAGTACACTTTGCTCACAGCTTCCCGTGAGCGCATTCTGGCGGAGTGTGCCAGCACTGATTTCAAGGACGGCGGTGTCAAACGTCCCCGACCTGCTCCCGCCAAGCCCGGAGCAGACAAGAACAAATATTGTCAGTACCATAGGAGCCATGGTCATCTGACTGAGGATTGCGTCCATCTCAAGGACGCCATCGAAACCCTCATCAAGGGAGGGAGGCTCGCGCAATACCGGCTGAACGATGCTCCCCGCCGTGACACCCAAGAAACTAGAGAGCCGGAGGAGGATGT